GCCCCCCCCCCCCCCTCCACCCAGAGCATCAGAGGAGCCCCCCCCCCCAAGGCTTGTTTATGACTGGATGTTTTACGACCATCTCACAAAAGCTTGTGCTGGTTAAGTGTCACGTTTCTCGCTCACCCCGTCTGACATTATCATGTACGAACCGCCGCGGGGAGGGGGGGGGGGCACTCGTTAAAAACACCCCGGGCTCTGCAAACGTGGCTCATTTCCTCTGATGCCCTGCGCCATGTAGCTTAGCCCACAGCACGCAAGATGACTGAACTGACTACATGCAAGGAGAATCGACCGATTTTTGAATGGCTTAGAACAGCAGCGGACAGGAGGTTCTGTTTTGAGCCGTTAGCCACAGAGCTTTAGCAGAAGCTCACTCTTACATGCTCAGAAAAAAGGGTAAAAACTGGTACCTTTGCCGGTCACTGGGGCTGTATCCTCAAGGCTCTGCCAATTCTACCCTTAGCTGTAGGCAACCGTACCTTTTAAGGTACAGAAATTGGCTCTGAAGATCATTTTTGTACCATTGGTGGTACATTAATGCTGTTTGTACATTTGGGATGTTCCTCAGAGTCTATTACCCTAAAAGGTCCAATTACAAGGGTACAGCCCCAGTGACAAGCAAAGGTACAAGTTTTTACCCTTTTTTCTGAGAGCGTGCCGCCTCGTCACAACGCGCTTTGGCATACAGGGAGTCATGTGCTGCACGTCAGACGCTCATAGTCGATAAGCCGCAACGGGGAGGCAGACAGTGTCCGTCAGCAGCAGCATATCATGAACCAATCGTATTTCTGCGCTAAGAATCTTCTCAGATATGTTTTTCAGCTGTCCGGCTAATCTGCCCAAGCCTTCCCACTCTGTTATGCTAGCATCACGTTGCATAACACGATGTAATCCACTTGCCTTGGAACTGAAGGAAATTACGCACTTGGTAATGCACTGGGACCAGTCCTGATGGGGCTTCTACATCAACAGGGACACGTGAGACCATCAGTCAGCTGTTGGAGCACACGGCCGATGAGTAATCACTGCAAGACAACATGTTCATAGATATATCAATGCACCATCTATTTACCAACTCCCATTATACCAAGCACTTCATAGAGCATTAATCACTAAAGTGTATTAATCCCATATGTTGACCAACAGTAAAATAACGCCGTAATTGCCCCAAATTAAAGTAGTAAATTTCAGTGGGAATGGTGAAATATGACAATATGTGAGCTGTATGGCCCCGGTGAGATTTCATTACAACTGAAATATGACAAATTCACTATGAATAACAAGCCAAAATCAGTGTATCCTAGTACCTAAATCAGACACGCATCCATACAGAATGACTAAACAACTGCGTAACGCCATGATGTCTTCCGCAGAGAAAACGCACCTGCATAAAGATGGGGTCCCTATCCTTGTTCAGCGATAAGTGTTGGGGTTGATTAGTATCACCGACCTCCCACTCTGATTTACGGCACTTTTCATTTCCGTAATGGTGGCCGATTTCATTCAGACCCATTCATTTTTAAATGGATCGGCGCCATGATTATCTTTTCGCTAACCTCTGGGAATCACGGTCACCAAAAAGCTCATTGTCCCATATGTCGCTCTCCCAACATGCTGGAGACGAGTCCCTCCGGACCACATCCACTCTCGGGGCATGAACGGGACAGAGAAACCACTTTACCCATGGATGACCTGGGTGTGCTGGTTTCAAGGTCTCATTCATCTCGAGAACCTGCAGTAGAAGCTGATTCGGATTTCTGTCAAAGGCCAATCTCAGGCAGGCGTGAAAGCCTCTCATTTACGATCCCCTTAAATGCAACGGACTTCTCAGAAACACACCTAGAACATAAAAGCAACCACCATTGTAGGTGCTGTTTTGGAACAAAATAATAGGGGGGGGGGGCAACGATCTGACACATAAGTACTTCAAAACAGACCCTTAACAATCTCTTCCAGAACCAAACACACCGAAAAACCATCATATAGCTTCTCAAACCTCATAGTGGTCTAACAGAAACTCCCAGAGGCTGAGCGGTTCATCTTAAAATACAACAACCTTTCTGTTAAGGGACAGAAAAGCTGTGAACAATGACAAGAAGTCAATGGGAGAACCACCCCCGCTACTGAAAGCGGTATTGAGTGTTTAAAGTGAACTGTTGCTTAGGGTGGGGGGGTGGGGGGGAACACTGATGTGAATATGCAAGGAAAACGTGCGGCGTGGAGATAACAGCAGGTGTGAGGTATGACGGAAGACGGGGACGCGACCCTTTTCCCCTTTATTTACTGCACTCTGTAAAGAGTCGACGTAAAACACGACAGGACTTGTGACCCAGGAAAAATGTTCTATTCTTTTAGTGTTAGTGTTAGAACCAGTGCAAGGCTTTTAGGCAAACATGCTACCAAAAAAAACCCAGTAAAACGTGTCAATAGCGAGTGGGAGTAGCAGCCCACTCTGATGCAGGAGGGCATGAGCAGAGCTTGTGTCCTGAGGGCAACACAGCAGCAGCGCTTGACCCCGAGTCCCTGTCAGCCACCGTTTATGAGCTCGGCCCCAGAGCAGGGGCAGCTCCCAGTGGGCGGACGGCCTTCCTCGTACACACGGGTCGCGCCGAACTGCCGACAAAGAATGGCAGCGCTGCCCCAGAATTAGGCAGCTGTCAGGGGGACTAAAAGTGTAACGCGAGGCTTCCAGAAACCCGCCAGACCCCACCAGCTCTGCACACAAGTGTATCTCGGGAACACGCAAGCCCAGCCTTTTCTGGGTCACCCCCATTACGTCGACTTTGGTCCGCTCCACATTAAAATGATCATTTACCCCTCCCCACACACGGAGCTGTGTTTCACCACAGGGCTGAAGCGCTGCGGGGGGGGCGGGGGGGGGACAGTACGGCTAGGTGGACAAAAACAGACGCCTCAATCTGGAGTGCAGCTGGGACAAAACCGTGCTCAAGATGGGGCCGGCCTGGCTCACTCTCCTTGGGTGGGGGAGGGCAGAGAAAGGTGCCTCAGCCCCTGGCAGCAGCTACGCGCCCATTTAGTCAGCACATCGCCCCCTGGTGGCAGAGTTGGAAAGTTTCCATTTCCCCCAAGAGCCACACTTGTGCCCGACAGTGAGATACAATCCACAGGCTAATTTACAGCCCTGGCTGCTCCGTGGGATTTATTTTTTTAAGAAATGACTTGATATAAAATATATTTATTTTACCTTTGAATAAATCAATATGATATTCTTTATCAAATAAGAGGTCAAAGCATACAATATTCTCTCCATCTTCTGTCTCAAGATATAATTGGCTGATTAATTACAATATTTCCCGTTAGCATTAACGTGTTTCAGCTCCGGTATTCATACCAAACAGCTTCCTCAAATGACACTGAGGTTGTTGCACATGTCATCTCAAATCAGGAGAAAATTTCTCAGAGAAGGGATTTACTGGTAAAGTCCTTCCATTTTTTTTTATAGGTCTCCTGCCTGATCGGATTTCATTAATTACATTAATTTAAATAAAGCATGTGCTTATTTTGAATAAATTAACACTGCATCCTGTCTTAGAAAGTTACAGCCATCTCATTATATTAATTTAGACAAATCTGAGAAAACGGTCTGGTTAAACAAAGAGTGTGTGCCAGAAGTTCTTGGCTTCCAATAATCCCCTGCAATTTGGAGGTGAAATGTTTGTCCTGCTTTTAATAATGTTATAAGCATGTCACCGCTGAAAACAAGCAGCACGTTGTTATTGCAGGAAAAGCACATTTGCAATCACTCCCCAGAACCACTGAGAAGGAAGCCAGAAAGGGGGGGGGGGAGGCAGCCCAGGCAAAAGACGAAAGGCCACGGAGGGGTACAGGTGGGGTCCCACGCTGGGGAGCCTGGATGGGTCGTGTGAAACATTAAGTAGGGCAATATACAGGAGATCCAGCCAAGTATAGACATAATTACCCATTTGATGGCTCTTAGTTAACGATCAAAGGTAACGGTTCACGGTAACGGTACACGGTAACAGCACGTGGTAACGGTACACGGTAACAGCACGTGGTAACGGTACACGGTAACAGCACGTGGTAACAGCACGTGGTAACAGTACACGGTAACGGTACACTGTAACCTCAGCGGTGGGTCTGTGGGAATCTCTGAGCTGGCTGGCACCATTCATTATCAAAAGCGAATTTTAATATTTTCTTGATCGAATGTGCTCTACATCCCGCATTACCTCGGTGTCCAAAAATAAAAGAACCTTAACATCAGCTTCTCTTTCTCCCTAGTGCTGTAGTCCATTCAGCAACATTGACTGATATGCTGTCTCCGGTTCTGAACTCATTTTCCAGAGATGTCGACAAAGTAATCCCCATTGTCTGATAAATGGCTCAAGTTTATCTAGACAATTAGAAATGTATATATACATTATACTTCTGTGGTAAATCCTTGTTTGTATTTAACATTTTTATTTACCCGAAAGTCTTTCTGCTGTTTCATAAAATAGCTCAAATAATTTCATAACTTACGAGTTATCACAGGTTTCATTTGATTCTAAATATAACCATTTTTGTGACATTGTAACCCTTTTTTACTTACCTACGATCATATTGAGAAGGCTTGTGTTTTTGATATTTTGATACTATGTAACATACTGTAGGCCTATGCATTAGCTGGCTTTATAGAGTTACGTGTAGATACTGAAATGTTGGCCTATCAAAAGACTCGTTTGTGTTGGCTGCTGTAGACACAAATAGGATACATGGTTCTGTGTTCCACAGGAATCCGGTCCAATCAAGGTGCCAGTATTTACATATTAAACTACATATAACAGGTAAATGTAACAGACTGGCCTACTGCCATGCATATCAAATGAGAGCCATCCAGATCAAATCCTAATGATGGAAGGAACTGATGTCAAGGAACTTGTATTGATTTTTACTTGGAAATGTTCTCCGAAGACAAATCTAGATTGACATTGCCTGACAGTCGGTTTGAAAGTCCATGGATTAGGAAGCGCAATTTTACTCTTATCGCTTGACTTGTCAGTTACAATTGTTGGACTTGGTGTTAACAGTGTCTCGATGTTTAAAACGAAATTACTTAATTAAACTGACTTCACCTGGCTATTTATAGATGGAAAACCACAGAGACTAAGCTGGTATAGTTCAGTCTTCACCTCTGCACATTCTGTCCGTTCTCCAATATTCATGTCCTAGGTGTAAGTAGGCTATGCTGTATTGAATTTAAACAATTTTAGTTCACGGATTGGCTTAGACACCAGTCCATCTCACAGCATATGCCGGGGCTGTAGTCAATCTCTCCCCGTCACTTTCCGGTCTGTAGGACCTCTGTTATGACTAGATCACAACCGAGAAGAAACGCACCTGCTGCCTGCAATAACAGCGGCTCCAGCAGCAGAAGACGGATGGTCAGGGAGCTATTTATAGCGGTTAGATGTGGTCAGGAGAGAGCAGCTTCTTCCCCCAGATCTGACGTGGAGAGACGGAGCAAGAGCCGCTCTCACGCTCCGGGGACGCGGTCTATTACAAACGCCGGTTCACTTTTATTTCCGCGATCTCCTCTTTCTTCGGTGCTAAATATTGCATCCCCACCCAGCTCTGCACATTATCTTTTCCAGCCTTCGGTTTAAATATAGGGTGAATGTGTTTCAAAAACAAAACCACATTTCAAAGCCGATCTACTGTAACGGGCTGAACAAGACGCAAGGATGCAAATGCAGTTAATAATCGTGCATGAAACAGCCTATGAATATGAGAAAATAACGTGCTAGACAACAGTAAAAATACAGCGGCCCCTCCGTGCCTCTTAATAAGAGACCACTTCTAATGATTTATAAGCCCGTTATTGGGGATTTAAAAAGTGAATGAATAAATCCGTATGTAAAGTGTCCAACAAAGGGTAAAATACTCAAAAAACGAATCTGCAAATAGACCCAGACTCAGCTTCCTCTCTGAAATACTCTATAGCACAATACATAGCGTGTATGTATAATATACAATATACTGAATTTTATACTAAAATACAGACATTACAACCCCATATCAAATTTATAGCTCAATAAATAACAACAGACAGTTATGCTAGAAAAGCGGTAAAAATCCCACAATTCACTCACTGTACCTGCTTTTCTTCTTAATCATAGCAGTATCTTGAGCGTGGCGATGTAAAATGTATAAATATGTGAAAAGTGAACGCTGTATCCATTACCTGCCCTTACCTCACTCCACATGTACTGAGTAATATATTCCTATACATTAAATAGGATGCCATTCCTGGCAGAAACACTCGGTCGCCAGTGAAATAAATATATTATTTTGTCCAGTGAAGACAACTGAACTATTATCTAAATCCTTCTGAGACGGCTGGATCCAATACAGTCCAGAACACATATGGGCAACAGGTTTGTCCTTACTAGTTATGAGCAATAAAATCAACACAAAAAACAGTCATATTAATAGTGACAAATGAGGGTTGGGAAACACATGTTGGAAGAAAGTCTGAGAAGAAGGATGAAACCGGGCTACATATATAGTAAATAAATGGAGGAGGGGGGAAAGACGGGGATCAAACGTGGATATCGGTGTCTGGCGTTTTATACGCGACAAATTGGGATAAGTATGCGTACAATTCGTATTAAAACGGTACATGTTTCGTAGTGAACACGCGGAAATATTGTTACCAGATAGACCGGCTGCCATGAATAAGCGAACATAAAATAATCTCGACATTTAATCGCAAAACATTTGGGGAATTTATGGAAAGAGCAAGACTGAATAAGTATAATAACTTGCTGAGATCCGCATGTTCCAACCACATGATGATGTAAATCATTTTAGCAAAAAGCGCAGACAGGTGATAACGCTTCATAATCCACCCCCCCTCCCCCCTGTGATCCCGGGGTTACCTGCGCCGTCACCCCGCCGAGCCGCAGCCTCAGCCGGGCGGACGTGGGCTAGCCACCACCGGGGGACCAAAATATATATATATTTTTTCTTGTTTGCTATCTTTCCAAATACATTAGATTCTAACCGCAACCTGCGCAGTATTAGCGTTCGATTTCCTTCGCCTTCCGCCAACAGAAAGACAGGGCCTTAGTATAGTATAGTGGAGGATCAAGTCAGTGAATGTAAGTTGAGATCATTTCAGTAATATAAAGTCGGGTGTATATAACTTATTCGGCAAGAAAAATACAGAACAAACTGCCCTGATTTATGTTACCCCGCTGAAGGAGATAGTAACACCATCTAGACTCTAGAGGAGAGAAGTTCCTTTGAGGGAGACGTCTAAATGATGGTTCAGCAAAGTTATCCTGATGATCTACGCTTTCAATAAGCAGATATCGATTAGCAAATATAACCAAGGCAATATACACTCATAAGGTGTGCGTAAAATAAACACAGAGACACAAGAGTCTGCCGGCGGGGTCCATCGCGGGACGTGCAGGCTGGTCACACAGTGCCCGTTACTCCGCGATATTTACAGCCACGGAGGGCTGGATGAATATAAACCACTGTTAACCTGCTCAGTTTATTATGAAGTTTATTGGGCTTGTCTGTGACCATAGAAATTGCAAATCTATATACTCCATCACAGTAGGCTGCACACAGACAGCAACAGGCCATTTACTCTAGTCGATTTATTTTACAGACTTTGCGGCTTGATTTGCCCTATTTATTTGAATAGTCGCCAATCATTTCCCTATGGTCCTGTTTAATAAGGGGGATTTGTGTGAAAGCCAATTTTAAATTTAAACGCTGAGGCAATGAAATAAATACAATTCAGAGAAAGGGGCTTCAAGTTAGGGTGTCAGACTTAATGCAAGGTTTTTTTTGGTATTAATGTGACTGAGAAAAGGAATTATTTTCCAGAACAGGCCATTCTGGTATTACTATCATCTATAACACATGGAAGAGGGAGCCATTCAGACAGCTGCATGTGGTTTAACACCACAGAATAGTAAAGTGCACCCATGAATATACGACAATATTCAATGAACTCCGAGAAAGTGTGTGCCTTATCACTGCATGTTGGAATTCAAAAGTATATACAGCGAATATGATCAGCGCCGGTCTTGCTAATGTATAAATGTGTATCTACGCACTTATTTACTTATATTGCATGGTTTTATGAAGCCACTTTTGGCTGTACCTCTAAGTAGTTATATATGCATGACTGCAAATTAGATTAATATTTTATACATTGTTATTATTATTATTATTATTATTATTATAACAACAACAACAATAACAACAACAATAATAATACCTTCAGTTAAACCTCTTTATTAAAAAATGACTTCAACTTAGTCGAATGTTGGTTTGTATAATTCATTATCTTTATTTTTCATAAGAATATACTGTATAATAAAGTCAGGGTCCAGCCAACATTTATAGCATAATACTTAGAGGTGGGCGACCGGTAAGGGGGGGGCATGCTCCGCTTCCTGTTCACTATCTGCTGTTGTTTTGTCAGGACAGTTTAGAACAGCCTAACCACCTCTTGTTTTGACATATGGCTCCATCTTTTGTTTTCACTATTAATGGGAACCATGTTCTCTGGCACGGCTGCACGAAGGACCCCACACTTTCACGGAGATCGTGGGGCTCCGTTACGGAGGCTACAAGGACAAATGAGAGAGAGTGAGTCTCGTGGGGAGGGGGCGCTTGGCCTTTACATTCAACCTGTTTCCCATTAGGGCGCTTTAAGCTGAAAGCATCGGAACGGTTTTAAGGCGGATCCGGTATCAGTGAAAGTCGGCACAGTTTGATGATTTACCATCACTTTGCAGTGACCAGTCACAGCGTCTAGCAGCATTTTAAGTCACACTAACAGCACGATAAGTTTAATTCTTGCCAAAGTTCCATTTTCACTAAAGTATGCCTAGAATAATAATGTATTTAAATAATGTCCCGAAGACAAAGGAGCTGTTGTACAATGACAGGTAAGCTAGCGATCAGCAGAATAAATATTTTACCCCCCCTCCCCCCCTTTTCTGTTGTGCTGGAACAAGTGCCGATTCTTTCTTTCATGGGGAAATTGGCTAATTTGACCCACAGTGACCCCATGTATAAAGCGTGACCTGGCTATCAGACAGAAGCCTTGTACTGCCTGCTCCAGACAGCGGAAACACTAATCACCGCACCCACCTGGTGCACATAGGCTAGCTGGAGGCACGACTGCAACAGGAACTGTTAACTGCGCTGGTCCGGAAACAGCTGTTTCACTCTCAGGTCTCTGCAGTCTGCAGCCACTTTACAAAATAATACGCTTAAAAAAAATAAATCGCACCCCAGTTGTTGATTTTCCCTTAATTGTGAGGAGTGCAACTTTGTCTGCAAGACTCGTGTAGCGCAGTGCAGAATGGATTCGGCAAAACTGTGGGGCCCTCTTTCTATTTTAAATACTTGGGTTAAAATTCTCTCCACATGATCCAGAACAACGGAAGCTGAGATTTTACCCTATCGTCTCTGAAACTGTGGGAAAGTTTCAGCAGTGCAAAACCGCAAAAACACACCATAGTACTGGAAAAGCCATACATACCGAAGTCCATATTTAAAACTACCATATAATAATTGTTTTTTCGTCCTTAAACTGTCTTGATTTTACATTAAAGTCATTTATCATTTATCGTTATCGTCACTGCGGCGAAAGAATCTTCACTCTCCGTGGCGCAGGTGAAATTTCCCTGATATGAGTAAGGTTTTTGAACTTTAAAGCTTGTCCTGTGTTTTTTAATCTTCCATGTTCGCTAAATAGCAGATAAATCATTCCGTAAAGCAAGGTCGGCTTGTGCCAGAGAAAGGGCATGCAATCACTCCGAATAAAGGAGCAGAAAGAGCTGACATCAGCGATTTCTGATGGGCCGGCCTTGACAATCGCCCGCCGCCAAGGGTTAGCACAGGAAAAGCAGCCAAGACGTCTTTCATGACTGGAGAGCCACAGCTCGCCTGTGATTTCCCCAGCATGCACTTTCTGGATTGCCTATAAAAAGGCTTTTACAAAATTAGAACTTATCCAATCCTCTACATATGCTTCCCAGTGCTCAGAGATATTGTTTGAATTTCACCCAAAGAAGAGTCATACTTTTGCATGGCAAAAGACAAGTTTCGAAGATCGTCTCACGACATCACCGACATGTGACGGTATTTTGCATTGACACTCACCGTAATCACTCTGACTAAATGACACTGCTGCTCCAGGGCCTGTTATGTATTTTTTGGAATGGAGTAGTTTCAAATAATTCAAAAGAATGGAGCTGACTGTACAGAGAAGAGCCCTGTTGGTCTCTCGCCTGACGTCACACCTGAAGGCCTGTCCCACTCAGTCCCCCCGGAAAGCGCTGCGGATTTTCACCGTGCCCCATGCCGACACTGATATCCGCTCCATTATCGCTCGGGATTTCAGAACATTTCTCAATTGCTCATTTATTTTCCCAAAGTATTTGGCTGGGAACCTTCTAAGCCGCACCAGGTCTCATCCAGGAAAACAAATCATGCCCCTTTTCTGCAAGAGAACAAATACGGAGAGCGGTGGGGAGACTGATAGGGAAATCCCTGGTCATCATGTGCGGCAAGATCAAGCGGATCAAACGCTGGGCAGTACTGGATGAGCATACTGTGGGAAAATGGGATGTATCTTAGCTACATTTCTGATTATGCCCAAAACAGGAAAGGAACTATCCTTTCTTCACAGGCAGAGACATGTTACGACCAATTAAATATAATAAATTTGCTGTTTTACAGACTTATTTAAGTTTGAGACTGTAGAAGGGAAAATAAAAAATCAGCTGCTTACCAAAGTCAAGCAATGTTACTTTATTTTATGCAAATTATAGAATTTAATTAATCAATTAGAATCAATTAAAACCCGTGGACCCTACAGGCCTTAAAGGTCGTAATTGGAAAGGTTTGATGTACAGTAAAACTGCAACAGTGCATTAGAGCATCGTCATGGCCAGTGATTACAATGTTCCCTGATGACAGTCACCACATGGCGAAGACAGTCAAGGTCCCAAGATCTCCCTGAAACCAATACAGAAAAGCACGACGTCTATGGCAAATTGCATTAAACAGCCTACACAACAAAGACCTCCCATGAGTGTATTCTGTAAATATCACGTAAAACAAATTCAGTGTGCATACATACAGAGATATATGTGAAACAGTACTTCAGAATGAGTAAATAGTGCTGGTTAAGAAACGGGAAAATGAGAAATTGAATTGACTGAAGAATGGAAAGATTCAAACAA